CAGGTAGTGTTGTTATACATGTAATTAAATTGGAAAGTGTAGTTTTTGTTTCCAACTTGTGCCGAAATCTGATTAGATTTCACACCGTTATTTTGATTTGCATTTGTGTTGCTCTTTCGGCTAATGCATTAGCGGTAAAAACTGCAGTTATAGTTTTAGTATGCATGATTTATTTACAATGACGATTGTAAGGAAAAATACAATTGTAGCTACAAATGGAGGTCCTACTAGCAGCAGTGATGGCTTGGATATTGATGCTGCAGCCCAGTTAGCAGAAGGTGATGAAGGTGAACAGCATGCTGAACAAGGTAAAGAGTCACTTATTTAAGTCCAATACCTTGTAAGAGTACATAATGATCAAGGTTTCATTTACTTATGAACAGACAAGGTATAAACAATTTATATGAAACTGGCTACTGTCGCGCGGTTTCACCCGCTGCTCAGCTCCATTTAATCGTAGCGTGATGTTTTATAGCCTATAGCACTCAGGAACATTGTAGTATCAGTGAAAGAATTTTGGAAATCCAACCAGCCGTTCCAAAGATTACCCCCTACATACAAACTTACAAACTTTACCTGTTTATAATATTATTTATTTATAATTTATATGAAATCAGCAAAAATACATGGTATGAATATTGTCAATTAATAAAAACTATTGATATAGCATATGGTACCATTTGCATTATGTAACTAATAGAATAGTTATTTAATATGATAGCCTTTTTGATTTATTGCTTTTTTGCATGTTTGTAAGAAATTATGTTATTTGTAGCCAATCCTGAAGCAGAGGCTGAAGAAGAAATGGATATTGATGACACTACCACGGGAACTGTAGCAGATGAATCTGCTTACATAGGAGACAACTGTTTGTCAACCCCTGTAAGAAATGTTTTTAATAAGTAGTAAAAGTCAAGTTATACTTGTATAATTTGGGTTGCTAAGTTTCTATTCCTAAAGGTTGAGCAGAGCTAAGATTTTGGTCTTATTTGTATAATAAGGCCGGATGCATGATTATGAAGTGTGTCTGGATCCACATTAATGTTTGAAATCTAAAGACTGACACAGACAAGCTCTGATTTTAACAACATATTGTTGCGGGTTTTAATGCATATAAAGTAATAGTATTGTTAAATATCTTGGAAGGATTGACAATTTGATCTGGTTGCATAATTGTTGTAAACATGAAATAAAAAGTTAATAAAGCTTTGATTTTGTCTATTCAGGTTTAATGCTAAGTAAACCTATGTGTTTTTATGAATCATAAGCCAAATTGTTCAGAATTCACACATTTATGTTTTGAAATCTAAAATGTCTATTTGTTATTGTCCAGGATACTGAGAGCCAGTTAGATCCAATGATGAAAGAACAGAGTTTAGATGAAGCTGAGGGCTTGGTGGGTGCTGCTGAGGAGTCTCCAGACCAGTCCATTAGTTCCGCAATGCCTACTGACAGTGGGGTTGGTGAGGGTGATGGCGCTCCAATTGTGCAAGATGGTATAGTTAATATTTATGTTTTTCTATTTTCTTTTTTTATGGGATGGCTTGGCAAATGTTACTTGATGGTAAGTAATTAGTGCTGTCCATGGACATCTGCAACACCTTAGGAGTTATAAGTGTGTTGCCCGCATTTTCAGAATCCTCAAATCAAAGAAGGATAGGTCCTTTAACCTCACACATACTAAACACAATCCAATAGGGATAAATACAGTGCAATAAATAGGAGATGTTAAGATGAATGTTGATGAAGTGCCTAAGAGAAGTTTATATTTCTTATATTGGATTTGCAAAGAACCATTCCTTTGACAGAGACTTCTATAGTCAGGGCATGAAAAGTGTAAATTTATTCTAATGTAATATATTATTTATTATGTAGATGTAGAAGTTGTACCAGTAATTTATTTAAGTTTAATTTTCAGATGAATCTAGCACCATGGATGAAGATATGGGAGGCGGGGAGGGTGTTGCCAGCAGTGACGATGTCAATGACATCAGCAGTGCTGCACAGGATGTTCTCAGCACAGGCATTAGGTAGGAGCATCTCATTAGTTGGCTGTTGAACTAGTACCAAACAGAAAGTGCATGTATTCTTTTATTTTCCTCAGTTCAAGCACAGCCGAGGGTGGTGCTGATATAACTAGCAGTGGACAAACAGAAGCTCCTCTTATTTCCTCCACAGCCAATGGACCAGCAGTACTACACTCTTTCTCTCTTGCAACACAACAGCAACCCAATGAGTTAGTATAATATCCATGAAAATCTGTATCTTAAATACTTGATATGAAAACAGATTTTTACTAAGTGGTTATGGATTTGTTATGTATGTTTAGTCATAAATACGGTATTTTGAGATCTTTGTAATGTCTTTTATGTTGCATTAAAGTTGCAAATAAATGTTTCAGATTCAGTGATGCAGACACATCAGAGATGGAGGGTGCTGCTGATACTATGCCTACAGTTAGTGAATCAATGCCTTTGCTCACCATGACTGCAAATGGCTCAGACCTGCTCTCACCTACTTTGTTGCCTGGTAATTTGTCAATTTTAATGGTTAAAAAAAATTAACATATAAGTATAAAAATGGCCTCCTACAGTTAGACTTTCTCGTTTTGTGTATGTAGTTTGAGAAACACATAATTTCCCATACTACACATCACTCCCAGACAGTAGATCATTGTTCTGCTGTCTGGTATAAGGCATCCGGTTCCGTAATTATCACATCAACTGTGCAGTTATTACATTATAGAAATATTGCTAATGCGTATTATCATTAGTTATTCCAATAATTTTTGTAAAGATATAGTTTATGTGTTTAGTTTTTTTTGCAATGGTTAGATTCTTAGAAATAATGTGTGTGGTGTGGTAGGCGAGGAAGGTGGCGCAGGTGTGTCGTCGTCGGTGGCTGCGGACGGGGCGGCGGCGGGCGACGCGGCCGGCGACGTAGAGGGCGCCGTCAGCAGCTCGGGCCCGGTGGCGGCGCAGGCCGCGCGGGCCGCGCACGCCGCGCAGGCCGCGCCCCCGCTGCCGCCAACGGACGCGGCGCACGCGCTGGCCACGCTGGCCAGCGCTGCTCTGCACCACCAACATGACCAGGTACAAACCACATACAAACACCACTCTCCATTCTTAAGATTTCTGTCACCAAATTTCTAATTTGTGACCACATAAATTCTGAACATAAAATAATTTAATCATAGTTTGATTGATGGACTCTTGTTGGAGTTCGAGTACAAAATATAGTTTTAAAATAGAAATATTAATAACCTAACATCAACATCAACCTCTCTCAAACTTCCCAGTGGACATGGCCCGTGTAACTCTTGGAGTCTAGTACCTACATACACTTAGATTGACAGTTGTTTTAATGTTGGATTCTCGAAAATGCATCATTGTGTTTTTTTCGTAAAAAATCAGTAAAAACTTACAGGCGGAGCCAGAAGAGCCGAAGCAACATGATGAGGATGCATGGTACACAGTCGGAATTGTAAAAGGAAACACATTTACGGTAATAATAATATTTTTTGAGTTTTGTCTACTATACAACAGAAAATATATTTATTTGCGATGAATTCAGGTAAAGAGATAAGCTTTTACAAATTTTGGAGAATCCATAATAAATAGAATCCATTCAATACAATAATCCATTTTACCTTTATGCCATAAATGTTTGTATTTGATAATAATTTATGAGTAAAGGGGAATAATAACAATATGTTTATGGATTTTTAATAAAGACTACAAACACTTATTGACTCTCAATTAAAATTCTAAAAAACTTTGTTCACATTTTCTATAGTTTGACCTTTGAAATTTAACCTTTAAATTATATTTAAATTATTTCATCTATCTTTGTTTTATACACAGGTTCAAAATTATATTTCGGACCCCAATGTTGATTTGTCCAATTTATCACTGGATAATCTGCCAGACCTGACCGGCCTACCCACTACGCCGCTCGAGCACGGCACCGCTTACAAATTCAGAATCGCTGCTATTAATTCATGTGGGCGTGGCGAATTCAGTGAAGTGAGTTAAATACAATTAAATTTATAATGATTTTTGCTATTGAATTTGCTGATATTGATCTAACAGTTTGGTAATCAAATCAATATTATTTTGTAGGAATCTGCATTTAAGACTTGCTTACCTGGTTTCCCTGGTGCACCATCTGCCATTAAAATATCAAAATCAGTTGAGGGAGCACATTTGTCATGGGAGCCACCCCAAGTCGCCGCAGAAGGCATATTCGAATATTCAGTGTATCTAGCCGTGCGGTCAACTACACCATCTAAGGTAAATTAACTGCTTTAAAATATACTTGTAATGGATTATTTGCTCAAAATATACTATGTTAACGTTGCTTTGCTTTTAGGAACCAACGAAATCGCAACTCGCGTTTGTACGCGTATACTGCGGCAAGGCCAACACTTGCGTGGTACCGCAGGCATCACTCAGCGCGGCGCACGTCGACTCCTCCACTAAACCAGCGATCATATTCCGCATTGCTGCGCGGAACGAGAAAGGATACGGTCCAGCCACCCAAGTTAGGTGGTTGCAAGGTATGTAATTCTTTGTTTTCAAGTTGTAACTAACTTCTTCCAGCAAAACATATTATAAGGTCCTACTTTATTAGTCCCGGTCTTTTTAGATGAACAGTAAAATAAGATTATTATTTAAAAGAGCAACATGGTATAAAAGGTTATTTTTGTAAATACTAGTCATACTAGTCATACATGCAAGCCGCATTGTGTGTGTACAGCGAGTTCTGTATATAGGTAAAATATGTCTAGTACATAAGGTACCAATCGGTCATGAATTATTAAATTATTGTCATATGAGTGTTTCATACAGCTTCAAGAGCAATTTCACTTCGGCTTTCATATAGCAGTTTTTCTTTCTACGCCTTATATCTGGCATTTTCTACGCCATACATCGAAATCGAGATAAGCAAAGCAGCTTTTAACTTTTTCGAAAGGGATTACTGGTACGTTATATTATTCGGTGAAGTATTCAGTGCTTTCAGAATGCTCGTTTGAGCGTTAGCACAAGGATGTGTACACTACAGGTACTGTCGCAAAAAACCAAACAAGTAACAGGAGTGGAGAAGGTGGCGTCGAGAGCTCACCGCCGCCCCCGACCGGGGACTCTTAAACGGCACGCCGAGTGGCGCCGTCCGCGGCCCGGCCGGCCGGTCCGGTCACTGGTGTCGGTAAGCTACGTAACTAGCCGTTGTGTGTATAACTGTGTACTTTGTTTTATTTTATTTTTTCAATAGAATCAACGTACGCAACGAACATCGCGATCTTAGTTTTCTTTTGTTATTTATGTTCCTTTTGGTTTTTTGTTTTCTTTTTATGGACCAGGACTAAGCTGTAGGACCTTGTATTTTTTGGACTTTTTTTTTAAATTGAGCATTGTTTCGTTCATTGGAAGTTCGAAATGATTACTTTTTAGTAAGAGGCATAAATTTAGGAAAAAGAACTGATAAAGAGGACCTTATATTTTGAATTATATGTGGCGTTGTGTATGTGTTTGTATTTTTTTATATCAGATTTACATGTATATTATCATTTCTTTTATTTTTACATTTGTTGTTAGCCCCATTATTCGACAGGTAATTAATTTCATTGCCAAGAGTTGAGTGGTGATATAATTAAAATCATAAACAATCAACACACTGTTGAAGTTTGAATTTAGTAGTGTGTAAATCAATAGATGTTGTATAGCGTGAAATAACAAGTGTATATCTATAGTACAGAAAGTAAAAATGAACAATTCGATAATATTGGCATTGCAGATATAAAATCTACGGGCGTGAAGAGGACTGGAGAAGGCAGACTACCGGGTGCTTCACCTTCCAAACAACCCAAGCAAATGTTGCACTAAGTGTTGAGTTTGTGACAGTTTTTACAAGTATAATATAGACCAATACATAAGTTTGTACAGGACTTCAGATTTGTTTAAATCGAGGTTAGTACTTGACTAACTATGTTATTTTAATGTAAGCAATTATTGAGAGTGAAATCTCATGTTGTTTTGTAAACAGATATCTTTATGTTAGATAAAAGCCCCGTACACATAGACTTTGCCTCTTTCCTCTAGCTAGTATTAATATGTTGAATGTGAACTATAATTTTATGGACTTGTTACCGTTGTCCACGCCCTACGGTAATATTAGACTGATTGATGTATTAGACGCAATGAGATGGATATGCTAAATATGGAAATGTTATGCACATATCTGTGGAATATAATTATGCAAATAATGACTTTATTTTTTTACCAACCCAGGATTAATTTATTCCTAAAAGATATGAAATGGATGAAATAGGATTCTTGAGCCAATTTCACCACAAATGCATTGCTTTTTTATATTCCTAGTATCAATTAGACAGTCAATATGGTATGGATACCAATAGTTCAGTAGTGGTGAAATTGGTTGATAAGGATATAAAAAATATACATAAATTGCATTTGGCTTTTAATACTTAATTACATATTATTGAGTACACTATACATTTGTTTCATTGCTATAAAATGCTATCTATTCAAAACTCCGGTAGGCATTCCAAAAGAAAATAAAAATACAAATTATTATTAATATTATTTTATACCTTTCGTTTTATAGAAAATTTCCTATATTCAAGATATTTTGCGTTTTATTATGATATTAAAGCAGTATCACTAAATTTATTATTTGGACAATTTATAATTTTTATTGTGATATAGGTTCACTTGACACTTGTAGACAGTGTAGAACCTTGGTTACTGTAAAGGAAAAAATATTATTAGTAGTAACACATTACAGCATCAAAATATTTAGTGTATTTGGAAAAAAAACTAATCTTACCAATGAAGTAGTTCCAAAGAGTTTGTACCATCCTATGACAATATTAGATAGGTTTAGGTCATCCAGCATGATCTGCGCCACGCCCATGAACACCTTTTTACCTTCTATGCGTCCGTAATCACCCCAAACTGTCACCTGTGGATACGAATAATTTTAAAGGGCCAGGCATGCTATGCGTTATAACTTATTTGCATAACTTTAAAAAGTGAGTCATGTCATCGCATCTAATCATAATAATTTGTCTATCAATGTTTTTGTAAGAATATGGAAAACAATTTTGACATGAATTTTAGAGGAAGATGTAAACAGAAATGGAGTTAGCTTACCTGTAATACGCAACCTTTAAAGTTTTCTCTAAAGGTAAGCGTCTGTTGGTACAGTGGGTCGAGCGTTCGGCGCGCCGTGCTTGTCTTAGCTTTAGCGATGCAACGCTTGCCGCTAACTAGGTACACTTTAATATAAGGCGCAGGCAGGGTCCGTCTGCCTGGCTGCGAAACTAGACCCCTAGCACGGATTACCTCCACCTGAAAACGATATGATGAGACTTTTTCAACATCATCTTGTCAAACATTATTTTTAATTTGATGTACGTCAGCACTCATAAATGAAATATAATTTTAACAGAGTCAAATATTAACCTCTAAGAATCCTTTCTGGTAACACATGGATAGTTGGACGTCGCCCTGTGTGGGCGCGCCAAGCAACTGTCTCCCGACTAGTTGTCCTGGCCCTAAGCCGTCGATGAAATCGGAGAGTCCTCCTCCGTCAGAACCGGAGCCTCTCATACCAGGAGACCATCTACAACAGGTGACACACATTATAATATCGAGACATATGAGAGAATTCCAGTTGTATACGCTTATATTTTCGCCATAAAAGTTGGCCCATCATTGTATGTATTACTCAGATAGCTTTTTGTGGACTAGACTAAATAACAATTCACGAGCCCGGCATCAGTATTTGTAAATTCAATGCTAAGAATGTTAAGAATATTTTTACAATGGCGCAGGTAGTGGACCCATAAGAGGATGTCTCCATGTCTGCTTCATACGGAATTAATTAAAATCTAGATGGGGCACTCGTGATTTGCACACTTATTATTAATTTGATACATACCTACATTTAATGCATGAGTAAAATAAATTTACAAAAAATGATTGATTTCACTCAAAGAAATGAATATTGTTAATCACATAGAAGATATAGTAAGTAATAATAAAAATATTAACCAGACATTTTAGACACTACCAAAGGAAATAGTTAATAAAATAATAATTAAATACAACATTTACAACATTGATACAATAGTGAAGAAGAGGGCGGTAGTCGTTCGGATGCATCGATTGGTAAAGTTAAGGCAGAGCACGTGGATTCCAGGTTCTAGATTCTATTAAAGTATCAAGACATCTAACTAGTAGATGTAATTGTGTAAAGGTGCAAGAAACGCTAGAGAATGGTCTGCATCTATTAAGTAGATAGGTAGTAGATCGTAGTGGATTAAATAGAATTAAGTCTATGAAGATAATGTTTAATAAAATAATAGCAAATAAAGTTGGATCGTACAGATTCAATTCTATTCTAACTTGGACTCAGTCTACAACTTCATTAATTTTACATTCTGGTAGGTGATTAGCTCTAGAAAGTCATATGCGAATAACACAACAAACCTGCACTCTTCTGACATCGTGTTTCCTAAGCTTTTTCAGAAACTTAAAACAATTTTATGACACAATGCAGGCAACAGTTTTAAAACTCCACACTTAACTGTACAACTCAATTTGGATTGTAAGTAACATTATCATGGACTAGTGATATTCAAGTGAGACATGCATGAATTTTGATGTAGATATGTGTACAACGATTAGACAAAAATGGAAAATTTGTGTAACGGACCAAAAATAAGTGCATACATCATAGGCTTTCAGGCAACATTTATCATCCAATCACAATCGTGCATCATGAAATCAGGATCGCTTCACTCTCGACTGACGAGTTCGCTGTCCCCGGGTATGTGACTGAAAATGTAGAAACTTGGAACACGCAGATTTCTTGGCGTATAATGTAGCGGGTTCATGTTACGTACGTACGAGAAGGTGCGATGCCTATGCAAGAGAAGACACGTGCGTGCTGAACAGAAAAGTATGAGTGAAACACACCAATTAACTGGAATCATGCTTTGACAAGACGAAAGGCACATAGAGAGGGGCAAAGTATTTAGAAGACGCGAGCAACATCGAGGCGCACATACAAAACGGAAGTCTGCAGGCAGCTTGCAAACTGCGGCGTAAAACGGAGCGGTCGAGCGGGCGACTTACGAGGATCCCTCCGAGCTAGATATGGAGACAAGGCTGGTGGCGCACACCTCGTGCGAGCGCTTGAAGGCCGTGGTGGCGGTGCTGGAGCGCTTGCGTCGCGCGCCGCCGCCCTCTACACGACTGGCGCGCGCTGCCCGGCGGACGCGAAGCCAACACGCCCGCCACGGACAACGGCGCAACATACATTTATTACCCGTCCAAAAGCACATTAATCTACATTTTCAGGAAGTCATACCTTTGCGAAACATTGTCTCTATTTGAACAACCACCGTTTAACGACAATTGGTAGGTAAATTAGTTATGTATAAGTAATATGTGTGATTGATGTGATTGTTTCTTTAGATTATAAAACAAATTATTTCACATAGGTATTAAGTTTTTAGTAGGTATTGAATTTCTGATTTAGAATTTCAAATTATATACAATTTGTTTTATTCGTTACTTTTTGATTGAGTGGGATCAAAACAAATTCCACGATGGGTATGTAAATAGGTAATGAGTACCTATTACATTTATTACATACTGAGAAGTTATAAAACGGGTAATTTATAGCAATTTCTAACTTTCTCAGTCATAAAATAATCGACGGGTGTAACAATTCGGAACTGTATCTTCAAGTGGGGTGCAATTATGTTCTCCAGCATTAAGATTCACATTTACCAGAAAAAGCTTTCTCTACAATAGCTGACTTTACACAAGCGACATAGCACATTAATTTGTCTTATGGCATTTTTTAACATGCTGTTTGAACTTAGTTATATTTCTTTATGCAGATGGGGTCTCTGTCGTTTCTTCGCGACCTTTGTATTGTGGAAATATCAACGCGCGATTAATCTACCGCCCCGGGCCAGGCGCCACACTATTGTGTCAATGTCGACGGTGCCGAACACCGCGAACCTGTCTTCGTCGTTCTCGCTAGAGGCTGAAGAGGCCCGTGACACTCCACTCATGCCTCCGCGCATTTCGCCGGGCACCACTTCCTCGCTTCGTTGCACCGTAAACGAATTTTTCCCACGTTTACCAAAACCTAACCTCCGTTTTCGACCTGTGATTATCGCACCAACACTTAAATTGTTTACTTTCTGCACATTCTAATTCCCGTAGGGAAGAAGTCAGTTGATTCAATAATAATAATTGGTGATGTTTAATTCACCTGTTGCCGACAACTGTGAAGTTGAATTGCTTTTCTTGCCCATGCCAGGTCCGAAGTAGTCTCGAGGTTCCGCTTTTAGTAGAACGTCATCGCTGGCAGGCTCCAATTCGCCTGCCCCGCCGAGAGCAGTGTCGCTTAGGCTGCCGTCTTTAGTAAAAGTCACACCTTATTTTAAATGTTAGTTTTAGAAACCAATAAACCTTAACAAAATCGTATGAATTACCTGCTTTTTCATCCGGTGGCACATCTGCATTGCTCAAACTCCTAGTAAATTGACCACGACGTGACTCTCGTCTCTCTA